CACCATCCTCCGTCAGCGCTTCCGAGAACAACTCCGGGCGGAGGAGAGAGCCAAGTCCCTCTTAGCGACCAAACCCAGGACCAACCGCTTCGTCAAGCTGGCCGTGATGGGGCTGACGGTGGCGTTGGGGGCGGCCGCCGTGGCGGTGGTCAAGAGCGCCCTCGAGTGGGCTCCCAAATTCGAACTCCAGATCTTCCCCTAAAGGCTGACGGACAGAAGGAATGTCCTCTCTCTCTCTCTCTCCGCGGAAGACGAGCCGAGTTTGGAGGCCCGCAGCTCCGAATCCGCTCCCTTCTGCAAGCAACCTTCGGGCGTGGAGAAGGGACCGCTGCCTTGGGCTGCGACAGGTTTGGGTGGTCTCAACGTCTCCTGGCCAGCTAAGGGGCAAGACCCCTTCTGTCCTCCACCTGCTGCCTGACAAACAAGGGAAGGAAGTCTCGGCGCGCCCATTTGGGGTAAAAACGAGGGGGTCCCTGTGCTTTTTATCCGAAGGAGAGACGTGGCTTGGGATCTTGAGAACTTCTCCCTTCTCCAAGCAATTCGATTATCCGTCTTACCAAAAAAAAAGGGAAAGAGATAGTTAGTTTCTCAGCGGTTGCCAACAGCAGGACTGGATTCTCGTTCCGCTATTCGATATTTTGTGTCAGCCGGAATCCGCAGGAAAAGAGGTTTTCGTTAAATGCACAGAATAGATCAGCAACTTGGCAACTTTGAAGACTCGTTTGAGACTTTTAAAGAATTCTGGGAAGTCCACAGACCTTAAAAGTTGCTGAGGTCGGATGCCTTTAGAATAGATCCTCTTCAAACTGATCCATTGCCATCCAAGCCCAAAATAAAAAATCGATCCAGATCATGCAGTTTGGAGGGCGATACACAGAAACCCTTCCCTGACAAAAAAAATAAAAATAAAACTTTTCTTTTTCCCTGCATGGAGAATTCTCAGCAAGGAGGATCACTTAATGCATAATCGCCCCGCTACAAAAGCCTCTACTCACAAGTGTCCTTACCCAACCTTCGCTACCTTTGAAAAGACGCGTTCTTGGCTCTCTTGGACGTGACCCAACGGAAACCTCCTAAGAACCACGCTTGCCAGTCCTCTCGAAAGCCGAGCCAAGGACTGCTCGCTTTGCCAGCTTTGAACATTGCATCGATCCAAGAGTAGGGCTGGACAGCTGGGCATCGAGGTGGACAGCCGACGAGTCCTGCCATGTCCTTCAGGCTGAACTCAAGATGTCCTTCAGAAGCCACAGCTTCCAGAAAACATCAAGATGCAGCTCCTGAGAGCATCTAGACTTCACCTCGGTGTGTTTTTCCTTTTCAAAACCGTTGCATTGAATTCTCTTCTGTGGCGAGACTTTTGGCTTCTTCTGGAGAAGAAGCAACCAGGACATGGTCCTTCTCACATCCTTGTGGGCCTTCTCTCTTCCGGACGAGCTCAGGGGCTGTTGCCAGAAGGTCCGTGCCTTTCTCCAGGGGGGTTGGATCGTGCTTGCGTGGTTCTGAAGACCAGTTTAACCCAAGAAAGCTGGTTGGACTTCAGCCTCTGCTCTGCCTTGAGAGTTGTCGTTCAGGTGTTTCTAGGCAGAACCGGACCACTGGGTCACCCAACATTTTTGATAATGGGTTTTGGGACTGTGCCATCCCTCCGAAGGCGGAGGGGGAGCATAAGTAGACTTTCTCCCAACAGATTGGATCTAAAACCCCGTGTCGTATCATAAGAAGCAGGCATGGTATGGTGGCAAAAAGGGACATGAAAAATCGAGGCCCACAAATGTGGCCGAGAAACCCTTGACTTCTTTTTTCTTCTTCTAAAAAGCACTTTACAAAAATGATTTCTAAAAGAACAGCCTTTTGTTGGGAGAATTAACTAAGGCAGGAGAAATGCTCTCTCATTTTTGGGGGTGGTACTCTAATGTCTCTTGTTGGAGGAATTTTCTTCCATTAGCCTAGGAAAATTTGAGCCCCTAAACGTTGCTTTCTAACCACAGGAAATACGCAGCGATCCGAAAGAGAAATTCTGCTTCATCGTGTTTCCCAAGAACCCGTCTCAAGCACTTCATTTTATTTATTTTATATTCGTCCAGCAAAAAAGTACACATTCGGACAAGAAAAATCAGAACGTGGCAGGGACGGTAAGACGGCTGCACTGGCACACAACCCCTTAGGGACATCATATACCACAGAGCGAGGTCCTCGGTTCAGCGTCGGTCAGCAGAATCTTTTACAGCCCTGATTTTTTGGCGGATTGTGCGAAGGCTCAAGTCTTTTCCTTCCCCCCGGAGTCCTATCCATAGAAAACGAGCATTATCGAGGGGCGAACGGGAGTGAAAACTCACTAGAAATAATTTGAAGTTTGCACTGCAGTCTGGAAAAATTGGCCTGGTTATTTTGCTGGTTATTTGCACTTCTGTCGGAGAGGAAAGGACAGATTTGATGAGGAACGGGGTCTGCCCCACCGGTGGATTTAAATGGGACCCCCATTGATGCTGGGAAGTGGGGAACAGAAGTTTTTTCCTTGCTAGTTCTCACGAATGAAGGAACAGAGAGTGTTTGCCTTAAACGCCAACCGATGGCACCTTTCCACTTCACACAATCTCAGACTTGCGAACACAACAGCGGTGACCCTGGAAACCCCACAAAATTAGCGTGCCCGCTGATGCAGGGCGTCTCACCCAGCTTAACTTTCACCCCTCTGTGGGCAGACAGGTAACTCAAAGAGGCTGAGTTCAGCATAGTAAAAAAGGTGGATTGCAACAGCCCTTCGGCTGTGCATCCTGGGCAGCGTAGCTCTTTTGTATACTCGTGTACGTATGTCACTTGTAGATTTGTACAGGGCTTGTAAGCGTGTACATTAAATAAATGTGCTCCTAACTTACTAAAAGCTGTTTGCAAAGATGGTGCCGGAGCTCTTTAAATCAAAGTGGGGTTTTTATTTTTCCCCTTTCCTTGCTCTGCGTGGGCTAGAATGCATCCACAACAGCTGGCCCCGGGGAGAAGGATTACACTAATATTAAAGAAATGGCGGGATAGAACCATTCCAGAGATGATGCCCAAGGAAGGAACAAAATGAAATGTGAACGAAAAGATTCAAAATCGTTTAAAAAGTTACTTTAAATGGTTTGATTGAATGGTTGAGTTGGCTTGCGGCGAGTTATCCTACAAAATGAAAAGAAGGACCAGGGGAGACAGGAGAGCAGCCTTCCAATATTTGAGGGGCTGCCCCAGAGAGGAGGAAGGGGGGTCAAGCTATTTTCCAAAGCACCCAAAGGCCAGACAAGGAATAACGGATGGAAATTGATCAAGGAGAGATTCCACCTGGAAATGAGGAGACATTTACTGACAGGGAGAACCATCAACCCATGGAACAGAAGCTGTGGGAGCTTCATCCCTGGAGGCTTTCAAGAAGAGATTGGACTGCCATCTGTCAGAAAGGGTGTAGGGTCTCCTGCTTGGGCAGGGGGTTGGACTAGATGACCTACAAGGTCCCTTCCAACTGTTAATCTGAAATCCAAAAAGATAAGATGCTTTTCCTCTGATATCAGTTTGAGCTCTTTGTAATCTCAAAAAAAAAAACAACCCCAAAATGCAGTCCCCTCCACTCCCCCCTCCCTTTTCCCTTCCCCAAAGCGGTGATCCAATCCCTTATAATGTCTACACGAAAATGGCCTATTTGTTTTTTTAATCAAGTGCTTAATTCTCTTAACATAAAAAGCATGGCTTCAGTCATTCACAATGGGTTGGACTAGAAGACCTCCAACTCTTGTTATTCTATTCTATCCTATCCTTTGGCGAGTTGTCCTGCAACAACTTGGCCGTGGTGAATTGGCCGTGGCGAGCCGTCCCATTTTGAAGCAGATTCTTCCATTTCAAGGCATCCTGGAAACGGACCCAGGGCAGCTGGAATTCGGTAGGTCTAGTTTAATGAAAAGAAGGACGTGCGGAGGCACGATAGGAATAATTCCAATATTTGAAAGGGTGCCACAAGCTGTTTTCCAAATCACCAGAAGGCAGAAGAAGAAATAAGAATGGAAACCGATCAAGGAGAGAAGCAACCTAGAACTAAGGAGACATTTCCTGACAGTGAAGACAATTAACCAGCGGAACTGCTTGCCTCCAGAAGTTGGGAATGCACCAGCAGTGGAAGTTTTTAAAAAGATGTTGGATAACCATTTGCCTGAAGTGGTGTAGGGTTTCCTGCCTAGGCAGGGGGTTGGACTAGAAGACCTCCAAGGTCCCTTCCAATTCTGTTATTCTATTCTACTATTTATGAAAAGTCAAGAAACTCCAGTTGCCTCTTGAAAAAAGACCTTTGGGACAACCAGGACTGGGTGGACGGGGAATCTCCATAGATGATACCACCTCATACAATTTCCAAGTAATAAATTCCTAAAATGGTGCATTATTAAAAAAAAAAAAAAAGAGCAAGAGAGATATTTTTAGCAATTCCACCTCTTTAATTTCCAACCCTCCGTATGCTACAGAATCCTTATCTCGGGGAAATCATGACGTCCATCGCGTTGAAGATCCGTTCGGCAGGCTTTTCACGTTCCCTAAAAAAAATTCTGTGCTGCTGTTTATCTTAAATTTCAGAAACTAGATTTAAGGGTGCGGCAGGGGACAGGAGAGATGACTCCCCCCCTCCCAAATCAAATCGCAAAGCTCCATCTGATCCTGATTTGGCCTGAAAAATCACCGAAGTGACCTAAAAGAAGCAAAGCAAGTAACAAATGGAAGGCAGGCCAAGCTGCCCAGCTCCGTAATACCAGTAAAAGGAGAATATTGTGGTTCAATTTTGTAAACCAAAACCACAACTAAAAAGTCTGGTTGGAGTGGCAAGATTCCGGTAAAGTCAACGGAGATCCGAGCTTGAAATATGGACCAGATAATGTTATGTGTGCAGAAGGACGCCAAGAACAATCAAACGAGCACCGCTGTTTTTGAGAAAGACGAAGCAGAACATCTAGAGCGAAACCAACCCGCAGGTCAAGTTCTAGGCCCAACCGACACAGGTGGGGCGGCGAAAAGACGCCCCCTTCCACCAACTCTGAGGCTGGAGATCTTCTTGGCTTCGTCACCACCTCAGTCGACAGGAGAGTTGTCCCAAGACGGACGTGGGAAGGAACTGGTCGTGCAACAGGAAGACCTGTGCAATTGTCCGAAAGTCCCCTCCGTCCATCGTCCAGGATTCCATCCCTCGTCTGCAAGCGAAGGGTCCCATCTGTCTGGAAAAAGTCCGATTTTCAGGGATCTCCACCATCAATGGCAGTTCTGGCAATTCGGATGGCAGGAGACGCCGTTGACTTTGCAACGGCAGCCGCCACTGATGTCACCCAAGCCCTGAAGGGGGAAAGAAGCACGGAGCGTGAAAAGGGAGGGGGCGCAAGATCGGCTCCCAGAATCCCCCCCCCCAGCCAGCAAAGCTGAAACAAATCCTGTTCTAATCCAACCCTCTGCAAAAATTACACACACACACACACAAATTACATACACACACACACACACACACAGGTGCTAGGTGGAGTTCTCGCCTCACAGTCAGAAGGCTATGAATTCTGATCCTAGGTAGCGGCAGGTATTTCTCTCTCTGGGCACAATGAGAATGTATCTGCTGAACAAAAACTCCTCATCGGCAACAGGAAAGGTATCCGGCCAGTAAACACCCAGCTCCATTCAGTTGCCCAGATTCCAGTCAGGTAAGGGATTACGGGGTCATTAAAAGACAAAAATAAATTAAAATTACACACACACGAGTTGCTACCCTCTGTCAATACGTACAGCTGGTCCCCAGCGAGGTCCTTTGGTCACCCAGCAAATCTCCGTGTGGCAGACGGTGCATCGGATCCAGTCGCAGCCGTCCTTCTTCTGCACGATGATCCTGCAGGTGGGGCAGTACATGGCCTCCCCATCCCTCACCAGCCTCTGAAAAAAGGGAGCAGAGCCATTCAAAACATCCACACTTCTTCCTAGTGGCACTGGGAGGGAGGGGAAAAGGTTTACAGACAGGAGTTTTGTCCAGTGGTTGAGGCACCCTGGCTAGGAACCAGGAGACGGTGAGTTCTAGTCCTGCCTTAGGCAGGAAAGCCAACTGGGTGACTTTGGGCCAATCCCCAGGAGACGGTGAGTTCTAGTCCTGCCTTAGGCATGAAAGCCAACTGGGTGACTTTGGGCCAATCCCCAGGAGATGGTGAGTTCTAGTCCTGCCTTAGACATGAAAGCCAACTGGGTGACTTTGGGCCAATCCCCAGGAGACGGTGAGTTCTAGTCCTGCCTTAGGCAGGAAAGCCAACTGGGTGACTTTGGTCCAGTTTCTCTTTCTCAGGCCAACCTACCTCACAGGGCTGTTGTTGTGGGGGGGGGAAGGAGGAGAGAGAACTATTAGGTATATTTCCTAAAAATGGGAGCGAGACAGAGATAATATATATAAAGAGAGATAGATATTAGATAGATAAATGGGGAGAGAGAGATGATATAGATAGACGGATGTATGGGTGGACCAACAGACAGGATGGTAGGTAGGTAGTTAAATGATTGATATATTATAGGGAGGTAGATAGAGATGATTGAGAGATGAAAGGGCGAGATGAGAGATGATATAGAACAGGGGTCCCCAACCACCGGTCCGCGGACCGGTACCGGTCCGTGGAACAAGTCCTACTGGGCCACTGGTTTGCTGGGCGCCGCCATCTTTTTTTGATGAAAAAGTGCTTCCGGTGAGCTTTTCCGGGTAGAAAGCCATTTCTACCAGCTAATGCCGGTACCGGGCCGCGCCATAAAAAAGGTTGGGGATACCGGGCCGCGGCATAAGAAAGGTTGGGGATCACTGATATAGAAGATAGATATAGATAGATGACAGATAGATGATAGATGAGATATAGAGATAGATGATAGATGAGATATAGATAGGTAGGCAGGCAGGCAGATAGATAGATACAGGTGCCCTTTCTGCTAAGAAGGTCCATCTGGTGGGACCAAGAAGAATGGCCTCCCCTCTGGTGTCTCCCTCCCTGTGGAACACCATCCCTGCAGAAATAAAATTGGCCTCCCCGCATCTCAGCGCTCTTCCAAAAGGCCCCCAAAGATCTGGTTTTGCCGGTGGCTCTGGGAACCCCTGGAGGATACGGAGCCCTACAGTGGTGGGGTTTGATTGTCGTCACCAGCGGGAGTTTCTTACGGGTTTTGTGTGTGTGTGTGTGTGTATTTCTTAAGCCATCCGGAGTTGCCATGAGTTGGGCGCCCCTATAAACTGCTTTATTCGGTAATAAAATGGCCCTTCTCACCAGCAACACCTCCGTGGTCTGTTGGGCAGCGTGGTCGTTCTGCGCGCGTATCTGCAGATCGTCCTGATATTCCTTGCAGTTCATGTTTTCGTGAATAGCCTGCGGAGGAAAAGCACGACTTGGACCCTGATCCATCATCCACAGCCAAGGTTGGTGTTCTCACTCAGCTCTCCCAAACACGACAAACCCTCTGAAGTGAACTCAAAAGATTCCTTTATTAGGAGCACCGGCAAAAAGTTCCTCTCTCACCGCCGTCTGACCGGGAGATGAATAGTTGTCTGCCGCAACCTATTCATCTCCGCCCCCTGCTTTTTATCCCCAGAGCTTCCGTCTCAAGGACCGGCCCATAGGTTTCCATTTGCTCTCCTCTCCTCTCTGCCATCTGCATATCTACACGTCAGGCACTGTACCCAGATGTTCCTCCTCTTCCTCATCAGCCACCTCCAGACCTGGGGGCTGTTAATTCTCCATCTGAGAGATGACGGACAGCCCAGGTTCCGTCTCTCTCTCTCTCTCTCTCTCTCTCTCTCTGCTCCTCTTCCCCCTCAGAGCTCTCAGGTTGCCTTGATGCTGACCCTGTCTCCCGCTCCTCCTCTGATTACGTCAGCGGCCAACAGGCTACAACAGTCAGCTTGAGTGGACCTTCCCTTACACACAGCCCTGCCAGTTATCCACCCCGTAGGGCAGTGGTTCCAAACTTTCTGGCAAAGTGGACCGGTTCTGTGTGGAGGTCAATCGCGAAGCGTGCGAGTAGTGAACCGGTAATTACACTGGGAGAATCCCACCCCTGACGGGACTCCAAAATCCCTCTCACGGTGCTGCAATTGAGCCAAGTTTCACCTAACCTAGGGGTGGCTAACCTTTTTGGGCTCCTGTGCCCCAAAGGCAATGTGCACATGCCCCCCCCACCCTGGTGCGCAAACCCCTCCCCCCGCCACCCCATTACCTGCACTGTGCCCGATTTTCAGCTGATTTTCAGCCAGTTTGAGGTCTTTTTGGGCCTCCCAGAGGCTTGAAAAAAGCCTCCGCAGGCCATATAATAGGCCCGTTTCATCATTTCCGGTATTACAGGAAGTGATGAAACGGGCCTATTATTTGGCCTGCAAAGCCTGCAGGGGCTTTTTTTTCAGGCCTTTGGCAGGCCAAAAAAGGCCTCAAACCGGCTGAAAATCAGCTGTGAGGCACAAGCATGTGCAGTGAGGTAAGTTTCCCTGCGGCTTGCGTGCCAGCGCAAACGGCTCTGCGTGCCACCTGTGACACGCATGCCATAGGTTCGCCATCACGGGCCTAACTTGTCTCTGCACATTTGGCTTTTCTTGCCTAAGTGTAAAACTTTTACTAACTCGAACCTATAGGACCGATGCGTTGTTCAAAGCTGGGACATAACTCACCTGACACAGCAAGCAATTGGGCTTGTGGCACACCGGGCAGTAGAACTCGTTCACGTCGTCTTCGTAAAAACACCAACCCCGGCAGTCCGTCGTTTTGCAGTGGAAACTCGACCGGCTGCGATTCTCAGCGATGGACATCCCCAAGTCCAGAAAGTGCTGGTATTCTTCCTCCGTTAATAACTACGGACGAAAGGGAGACGGCTTTAGATAAGTTCTTTAGGGCAGCGGCCTCCAACCTTTGGGGCACCAGCGACCGGTTCCACGGAGAAAGGTTTTTTTTCGTGGACCCGAGGGTTTCGCGAGCTGCCTGCATCCCACAGATGGGTCTTCACAAAATCCAAATGCCGGCCACACCTGTCCATACAGGTGAAACCCTACTTTGATCGTAGGTGAGAACGGGGCAGGGCGTTCTCAACCTAGCTCCCCAAACACAACAAACCCTCTGAAGTGAACTCAAAAAAGATTTATTAGGAGCATCGGCAGCCCCAGCAAACGTTTCTCTCTCACCGCAGGCTAACAAGGCCGTCTGGCTGGAAGATAAATATTTATCTCCCACATCTATTCATCCCCGTCCCTGCTTTTCATCCTCGGGGCTAGGGTAGGACTTGGCTAGCAGCGGTGGCTCTTCCGTCCCAAGGACCGGCCCATAGATTTCCACTGCTCTCCTCTCTTCTGCCTTCTGCACATCTATGGCACTGGACCCAGCTGTTCTCTTCTTCATCAGCCACCTCCACACCTGGGGGCTGTTGACTGTCCATCTGAGGGCTGACGGACAGCCCAGGCTCCTCTCTCTCTCTCTCTCTCTCTCTCTCCCTCCCTCCCTCCCTCTCTCTCTCTCTCTCTCTGCCAGCTCCATTCCCTCTTCCTCCTTGGGAGTCTCAAGTTGTCCTAATGCTGATCCTGTCTCCCACACCACCTCCTCCGATTTGGCTGCTGGAGGAGCCAGCAGCCAACAGGCCACAACAAGCCACACAGCATGCCGTGGCCCTGGTGCCACTCCACGGACCAGAGGTTGGGGACCCCTGCTTTAGGGTGGTTCCAGCTCCTCCTTCTAATCATGCTCAAACAGCAGAGGAAGCTGCTCCTGGGACAATCGTGTCTTGAAAAATTTAACCAGTGGAACCTGTTAGGGATAACATTGTTTACCCTAACTGGTTTGGGTAAAAATAATAAATATGGTATCATGGTTTGTTAGTTAAAGTGTGTGTAACTTTAACAGCAAGAATGTAATTAAGGGTGTGGTTGTAAAAGCACTATATAAGAAGCGAGGCAATTGCAGCTCGCTCTCTCTGGCTTACTGATCCCTAATTACTGGATGGATTGATGACTGCGTTCTTGCTGAAACAGGGAGAGAAGAAGGAGTGTTGATTTTCTCAACGGAGAGAAGATAAAGATTGGACTGATTTATTGTAAGTGTACTGACATTGGCTATTCCACACAGACTTTGCAAATAGATTATCCCCGACAAGACTTGACTAAAATTGATATATGACTAATGGACCGTTTGTTTGACTATGCTATAATTCTTAAATGGAATAAACTATATTTTTGATAGCACAAGCGTATCTGTATTTTTACTGCGTGTTAACTAAAAAACTTATCTCACACATTTACCTGTCTTCCTATCTGACTTCGCTGCACGTTCTGTTTAGTTTGTTTTCCTTAACACCCGTTGGGGAATCCAGGCTTAACAGAACCCACCGCAGGAGAACACAGGAAATCCTGGACTTACAACCGGTTCTTTCGCAACCTGGTCAAAATTATGACCAACCCGAAAAAGAACACTTGTGGACCAGATTCAAAGTTCTGACCGCCAGGGTCCCCTCCTCAGTCATGTGACCAAACTTCATTGATAGCTGCTTGCAGCATTCCATGGTCACCGTTTATGATAAGTTTTGCTAAAAACCGGTAGGTAGATGGTGCAGTTGATAGAAACATAGAAGGATGGATAAGCTGAGCCATCAGTAGATACAGATGATGCTGTAGCTAATTGAAAGATAGATGACAGGTATACAATAAATTTTATCTATAATCATAGATAGATATAAAGAGATAGAGATAATAAAGATAGAGATGGATGGATTATATAGATGAGATAAGACACATTCTCTCTCTCTCTCTCTCTCTCTCATGTATAGAGAGAGAGGGACAGACAGACAGACAGACAGACAGACAGACAGACAGAGTTAGATAAATAGATATAGATAGATGAAAGAAAGATATAGATATTAGATAGATAGATAGATAGATAGATAGATAGATAGATAGAGAGAGAG